GTACAAGTTGTAATGGCTGTTCCTTATTGATCAAAGAAATAGAGGAAAAGGTTTTGTTTATTAGTATTACGTTAATCATAAAGGATTGTTTCATTCTGATAATTATTCCATTTAGGAATGTCATTATGATTGCTTTAGATTTTCAGTGAAATTGAACAGTTAATCCCTATTTTAAGTTTGTATTTCCTTCATTTCAGCTGGAAGAATTTTCTGGTGCTGATGTTGAAAAGCTAAAACAGACTGTTATGAGACTGAAATAAATATCAGGATTTTTTTCTTTATCAACATCAATTTACATTGTACCCACATGTTACATAATCTTTAGTTAATTATACTGTTAAGGCAATAATTTTTAACTGACAAGATATTATTTTTATCAAAAGTTTTGTTCATAACTCAGGTGGAACAGATGTGTTTCTGATGTCTTGAAATGTGGATGGTATTGAGACAACTGGATGGGAATTTAGTACTTTTTTATTCATCACTTACAAATTGATGTTGTGTTCATGGTTCAGTTCTTTGCAACCATATATCTTTTTATTGTTTATGGAGAAAATCCTCATTTTAATGGTTCGAATCTATTTAAGATTATACAATTTAAGATTTGTTACTTCTGATAATTCTGTTATTTAAATAAAGACTCTAGTCTTAGTAACAAAAAAAATTACACAGATTTTAAAAAATTTCTTGCTCAATTCTTTTTGCATAGAGTGAGCCAAAACTTGCAGCAAAATGTGAGATGATTATATTTTATTCATGACTCATATTGTCTGCAGATTTTAACTATTTCAAAGGAATCTGGAGTGCAAGCATATTCTGTAACAATGTCCACCATTTATATTCAAGTTGGTATATGTGTAAAATAAGCTTTAGTATTGCTTGACAGCTTCATTTCTTGTTACATTTGGTCCAATTTTAATTATGTTTGGTGGCTTATAGCCAGCTCCCATTAAATTGAATGTTTACCCTTGTCATAAGGTTTTGTGTCTTATAATGACAAGTATTCATTGTCATATAATGACAAGTATTAAAGTATTGGCATTCCCTCACAGGCGTAAACAAAACGAGATTTGAAGTACTAGAAATGTATTGTGCTGAGAAAGTGAAATATTTTTGGATGGGTGTTAAGTTGTAATGAAACAAAAGTACTGTGAATTGAACGTTGTATGCCAACCTAGTGTTTAATAGTTTGTGGTTATTGAAACATTTGGCAATAAAACCCCAACTTTTGTAAAGTAAATGCTATTTGGCATTCATCCTGAAAATTTGCTAATATTTTGCCTTTTTGTGAGGGAAAATTTACCAATGTTATTTGCCAGAAATTTTGCCCCTAAGAGTTACTAAGCATGTATTCTCCTTATTAGCACATAATTCTGTATGTCTTGTAAAACTAATATTAATTTTGAAGAAAAAAAACCTTGCATCACTCAAGAGCAAACTTTATAGGGAATTTAATGGGATCTGCTATTCATCTACTTCAAAAATTAAAATTTAAAAAACAATAAATGGTATTTTTTAAAAACTACATTACTCTTCATGCTTGTATATCACATTGAAGACAAACTAGCTTCCAAAACTGTCAGCATGGTACCTACAATTTTGAATGGTCCAGTTTCTATTAACCTAAGGGTTCAGAAAGTGTACAGCATGTCATCTCATTGTTTATTGTTACCATCAGATAATTTGGATGATCATACTGAACATGTTCTGCTTGCAATGCTGTAATGGATTCTGTCAACAATAAAAACATTTAGATCAACAAATTGCATGTTTGTTCCCTGTAACCTCTGTACACAGGTGGTCCTCATTTTTGTGTAAACCATCAGATCACAGAGTGCATTTAATATTACGATGTCATCAACTCAAAGATTTCCAAGTATTAAACACACCAAGCTATAGATTCTGTGTTCATGTTTTCGTGTTTGTGGTAAGAAAAACAATTTAAAAAGTTGGGAATTTCCAATAATGTGTTTACATCAATTTCAGATTTGTTCAGATTTTCTTTAATGACATACACACTGAAGAAATGTTTGTAACTTGGTATTTGTGTAATTTATTAGTGTTCATAGCCAAATAAACTTGTATACCTGATTAGTAAAAATCCGCTATTACACTATATATAACAAATTTCTACTTTATTCAACTTTTTCTCCTAATAAATTTGTACATGTAAAGCATTTTAACATTTTATTTTATTTTATAGTTACAAAAATTCTTATCAGCTTTTTAGTGTACAGGTATGCAGGTTCTAATCATTGTGGCATGTTTATTTGCTAGTAAATTCTTTCACTATGCATAATGAAAAAGATAGAATTGTACCTCAGAAACTCTGAAATACCTAAAATTTTATTTTGACCTTGGAAAGCTATATAACAAAAAAGCCTAAATTTATTTTTTAAATGTTAAACTTTGAAGAAAAAAACTGATGACTGTCTCCACAAACAAATCTGTTTCTTTGTATATCGTTTTTCATTAGGCAAGTCTATAGGTCAAGAAAGAGTGCAAATTAAAGACGGGTCATTTTGTTTTTATTAATTTTCAATTTATCTTTAGTTTCATTTTTTTTTAGAAACAAATTTGAAACATAGTTTATAAAACTTTGTTAATAAATGTTATACTCACCATGGAGATGTTGTTGTTACTGCTTTGTTTTGATCCTTCAAAAATATTTAAAACCTTTGAAAAAAACTTTTCTCAACCCTCAAAACTCAAAATTTAAAATTTTAATTTCACTTTCATCCCTGAAAATAGTAGCAGGTTATTTTTAATTTCAGAACTTTTTTAAAATATCAGAATATAAAACTACTGAATAAACATCATACTTGATCAGTATTTATCTTTATCAACTCTTTTAGTCTTTGCAGTGATGACTCTTCTGTCCTAATTATTTCTCTTGACTGCTCAGTTAGGTAGGATGCAATGTTTAATTTGCTCTGAAATAAAGTCATAAGAACCAGTGGGCCCAGTCATTGTTTTAAGTTAATTGTAACTTTTCCACATACATTAAAATTCTAAACTTGATTCTTTCCAATTTAATTGAAACTGTTTACAAAATTGGGGGTATACATGTTTTAATCCTTTTCGTGACAATAACGGTTAAATGAAAAAGTGTCAGTTTCAGGACTATATTAATAAAATCGAGCAGCCACAGGGGTAAATGAGCAGTCATTCAACTCTTCAAATGAGATATGCAAATTTCCGATTGTTTAATCCTATGGATGACCTTGATTAAGGTTGAATGAAGTGACCTGGTACTTCTTGACCTTGAACAGACATATAATCTTAATGGTTCAGTAAGTAATGTATGATATGCTGTTAGATTTAAGTTGGCTTGTTAATTTTGTGCCCATCTGCCAGTACAGCTTGAGAACATGTGGTATGACCCTTTGTCTGTCATGCGTCATGTATCTCCTAACTTTTGCTATTCTGATCTTCTCACTTAATGTTTCAACCAAATTTTACATAGAGCATCCTGACATCAGATCATTTGTGATTGATACTTAAAAGGAAAACCTTTAAAATTAAATCACTCGAGAGAGAATTATACATAGTTAAAAACAACATGACAGCAGTAGTTATGTATGCAAACTGGGAATTTAACATTGTGGGCTTGAGTTATGTGGTCAAAATTGAATGCAAAGTCACAATTACTGATATCTCCTCAAGGTAAGGATGTGAAAATTGAGTGCAAGACCTCATATTACCAGTACAAATGCTATTTAGCTAGTCTGAGCAAACATGGTTTATTGGTTACCATAAACTTGGTAGAGAAAGTTATGTTGTAAACAATTCTTGGGGAAAAGAAAATAAGTGAATGAATTTCCAACTTTTACAGTAGGCGTGTTAATAATTTGTGACACAAGTCAACACCATGGTAGTAGCGTAATATAGTCCCTATCATTTACTAAATCACCTAACTGTATCAAATGTGATTCACTTGTAAAATATTTGTAGGTGTTTTTATGCAACAGTTAAACTATCTGTTGTGTGTGAGAATCAGACTAGAAAGCAGTAAAATTCAAAACTACTAGTTTAAGATCAAGAAAAAAATTAAACATAGAATAGTATACAAATTTAGTAACTCCTAACAGATCATTCAGCACAAATGTAGAAAGACTGGTGCTTAATTTTTTTTTTATTGTTTAGCAAACCTCCAGCTGCACATAGAAGCAGTCAGATTATAGATTTGATGCCTTCAGTGTTTTTAGCCACCTGAAGCCATATAAGCAGCGAGGCAACTCTCCTTGTAGTACTGTTTTGATGTCGGTCACTAACGGGCTGTGCATGGACAATTGCTTGCTCTTTTCCAAGTTAAACAAAGCATACAAAACAATTTCAAGTATCTCCCACGCTTTGTTGTCTTTTGAAGATTTTTTTTATATAAAGGGTGTTTTAGTTGTGTTTAGTGTTTCACGACAGGTTTTTCGTGACGATACAACTGAAGTAAAAGTACGAACCTTGCCTAACGGCATACCACTGTATCCATCCGGGGCTATCGAATGGGTGGATTCACTGAAGTAACTTATCGATCTGCCAAGATGTAGCTAAGTTAACATATTGGCATCTTGGCTACCGAAGATGCTGATAAATGGTATGAAAATGTTTTCAGTTCAGGAATAACAAAGACCTTTAAAAAAAACACTGGTTAAATAATAAGGATTGTAAATGAATAATATTCATTGATTTTGGCAAGTTTTTAAAACATTGGGGGGTGCTTAAAGCATAACACGCTGTATCAACTAACCTTTTTCTTAAAGAGGTCTCGTTTGCCCAGCAGATAGCATGATGCACTTGTGACCAAGAAGATGCTGGTTCAAATTCTATCCGGACCACAGCGGCAGGCCCAGGCCTAGGGTGTGCAATGCCCAAGTCAGCAAACGATGATGAGCGGGACCCCAAGCAAAATAAAATCTGTTCAATCTCACCACAGAAAAAAGAAAAGTATAGTCAGTAGCACGGATACCAAGGCCGTTGCCTCGTTAGCCTTGCCCTGGGGCCAAGCCTGCGCACCGGTGCCATAGTGGTTAGAGCATCCGCCTCGGATGCGAGAGGTCGCGGTTTCGAACCCCGGTTGAGTCATACCAAAAACTTATAGAACTTATAAAAGTGGCACTAGCAGCTGCCTTGGTTGGAGATCAGCACTAAGAGGTTAGAGTTGGTACTGGTCGGCCTTGTGTCAGGACAATGTGACTGGGTGGAAAATCAAGCTGCATATCCTGTGCTAGACATCACTAAAAAGTGCCACACTGCAGACATCGTAACGATATGACTGAAAAATTGCTAAAGCTACGTTAAAAATCCAAATCAGATGCCCGCGCACTAACACGCGCGAATCCTAAGGTGGGTGTGCATTGGGGTGTTTGTGGGCAACTTAGTTTTCTCAGATTGTCTCAATAATGTTTAATATGGGGACGTCCATTAATTATGTCCACAATTTTAAGGCAATTTTACCCCTCCCCTTGTCAACAACTGTAAAACTTTAAAGCAAACCCCTTAATAAAATTATGTCAAACTTTTTTTTACCCCTCTCCAAACTGACAATATTTTATACGGCTGGCTTTTATGCTAAAACTAGAATTATGGAAATAAAAAATCTAAAAATAAATTTTAATACATATTTTTACTTGTTTAACAGATTTCAAGTTGACTATAACACTTTGAATTCATGAAAAAAAAATCGAGACTTTATATTCTAGCTTCTGTCATCTTTCCATGGGGAAGTCAAATGTTCCTCAATTGTTATAATGGACATAGTGGCTGATTCATTAATTTTTTGTGAAACCGATACACCTGACAAGTCAACATCATCTTTAAATTAATACCATCTGTGTTTAATCTGTTTACAGTCTAAATCTGCAATGAATAAAAACAAAATATGATGACGCAAGACTATTACTTCCTTGGCAAGAGCTCAACCGGTTTAGGATTAAACTGGTGGGCTGTTGAAGGGCGAGCGAGTGTGTGCCATACCAATGCACAGACTAATTTCCTATTTTATTTTTTAAATATTTTTTTATTTATTAAATTTATTGTAAAAGATAATATAATTTGACGTAAATTTATCTTGAACTCAGCTTCCTCAAGTAAACAATTGTAAAATTCTCCCAACACCCTTCCACCATTTTGTTGACATAATTAATAGACGACACTATGTTGATATAAGAAGAAAGGGAATGGCGGGTTCTGGCCCAGAGACCCCTAAAAGCCTTCCCCCCCATTAAAGTACCACTGACCACCTCGTCAACACCCCACAATCACCATCTTGTTGATGACCAAAAGCTATGATACATCGAGTGCCGGATTGAGACAAAGCGAGGACCTAAGCTATGGAAAGCTATAGAGGCCATATTTGGTATAAAATAAATTTAAGCGGGCCCTTCAGACTGAGTTCATACTTTGGGGCCCAAAACTGTAGCTTGTTTAGCTTATGTCTAAATCCGGTACTTGATACATCATCATCAATATCATGATTCTTTGTGAACTATCACATATGACAATATATTCGACGATCGTACTTGTTTGGGACCTTTTAGGAGTATCTGATCCATAACTCGTCATTTTTCATACTACTGTGCCTGTCAGATTTTCAAACCTCGTCCCCGATGATCAATATTTAAACTATGGATATTAGAAATATATCAGCGTCACGATGGTAAGACTAAACTTTACCGTTGACATGGCGACGACATTTGAACAAATCCTTCATTTGCAGTTTGTGAAGAGGATATTTTTGTCGATCAAGTATACTTTTGACCGATCGAGATGGATGGTAAGTTTAGTATATTTATGTTAACTGATCGGATCGTGACAGTTTTAAAACTCAGTTGATAACTTCTGGCTCAACTCTTTGAGGTAATTGAAATACCCGCTATCATCAGATCTGATGAACGACAGTTTTAGCTTGTCACAAGCTGCGGCAAAGCATATACCCGATGTTTCATTATGAATTCCAACTGTCAATTGTTTGCCGTCTATCGTTAGAGATTTGATCTTGCTATTGTAGCTATTTGTGACTGTTACATATTCAAACATCATTTATATTATTCACACAAAGTTACATACCCTAGACGCCGAAGATGAGATAGAGGAGACTGTTCCCAAGTGAAAATGTGTCTAACCCATTTTCGCAATTACGTTTATCATCAAATTTACTTAAACCATGTTAGATGATGACATCTGTTTCAGGTTTATGATAATTCGTTCGAATAGCCGTTGCTCTTATAAAACTGACACCGCCGTCAAGCACGTACATGTAATAGACACATTTCATAAACTTTTTCACAAAATCGCAATGCAAACCTTTTGCCTTTATCGTTTTTTTTATTATTGTCTAAAAAAATACCGCGTATATTTTACTGCGCAATCCAATAATATATTTAATGTTCGAGTTCATTTTATCTTTGAACTTACCAACAACCTTTTTATTCGTGCCATCATGAAATCTACTGCCAGGATGGTAATCGAAAAGATCAAAAAGATGTTGATTGTCGTACTTATCCTGATAGACATCCTCACATTCGATTTCATACACGAGCGAATCGGTATAAGTAAAAAATAGTCTACTGGATGACCAATGAATTTTTTAAAAAAATTATAATTAAAATTGTACATAAGCCACTTCGATAAATCTAACAAGGGAGCTCCAGTGTAAATATGCTTGTTTAGCTTTAGATTTGATTTCCGCCGTTTTATTGCAACAAGATTTTCGTTAAAAATGTTCATGCTCACAAAATCGTCGTCTAACACAAGTTTGTTTCTGCGATGGATATCATTCACTAGCTCGACAATACTTGTTTTCTAATATTTTCCATCGTCTTACCCCCTACCCCCCAAAAAACGGCAAATCAGTTTTCGCCGCAGCTCTTCTCGAAGTGTTTCAGTTAATATAATTTTTCATCCACGACGACTAGTTAAATTTTAATGCACGATGGACTTTTTTAGCTAATCTCTTAAGAGTCTCAATGCTGAGTGCCAAGCGAGACAGATGCTAGTACCATTTTTACAAGTTTTTGCTATGACTCTGTCAGGGTTTGAACCAGCGACCTCTCCATCCTCGGCGGATGCTCTAACCACTAATGCCACCGGAGATTTCCGGCTCTTTGCTAGCACGTTGAGAATATTTTAATAGGTGATACACATTAGCAGTAGTGTTTGTCGTCCTTTACATAGCCAGTAAAACCATGTTCATACGGTTGGTCCAGTTTCAGCCGCTTCAAGTAAACTGACCAAGTAATGTTTATGATTTCTGTGATAGATTTTAATGCAAATTTACTTCTGAACCCCTCTGTGCTTCGCACTTAGGGCTATTTGATAAAACATACATTGCTTTCGCAAGACATCATGAGAACAAATTAATCGATCATCACTCGGCTAGCCAGTGCTTTCTTGCTTCTGCCAGTTGTAAAGCGTGTTTGAAAGTAACCTCATATTTTTCTTATTGAGAAAAATGTTAAAATGATATAATTCATTAAAATACATGATATTTAAAATTTAACTTGCGCTCCATCAGGAAATTTCCATGTCTTAAAAGTCAGCCTATCTTCGTGTATATATAAATTGGTCTTGTAATAAATGCCAGAAAATGGTATTGTCTTAACAAAAGTCACACAAAACGTGAAATGTAAGTTCACATTGGCACAGACCTGGCCTGAGCAGATAGGCGAGCTAGGCAGTCACCAGAGAAATTGTCATTAATATTTAAGAAAACCCGACATAACGAAAAACAAAACTGTGATAATTCGCAAAGATTAATATTTCGTCTCATCGGTAGTCATTGGAAACTCGTAACTTCGTATTTAACCTTGGAATGGACATTTACAGAACTAACACTGCAGACTTCGGTAGAACGAAACATTGTGCACCACGGTATAATATCGCTGTATACCATAGTTATATTAGAATCTGATATTTGAATTTTTTTTTAGGCAAGGACATTGGGTGTTTTGTTGACATTTCGGCTCTAAAATAGTTGGAAAAATAATCCTGTACTGATTTTTAGGAAAATAATACAATACTATCATTAAAAAATGAATTATTGTCTTGAGATAAAAGAAAATAAAATATCCCGGTTCAAAATAAAATCGCAACCACTTGACCCACCCACCCCTTCCCCAAACAATAAATTGAATATTAAGTACATTACAGCAGACACAATTGCTGTGAGGATATTGACTGTTGTATAATTTGTCAGCTAAAGACTAACTAAATTGAGACGATTAGGCTTACGCTATGGCAGACACCCGGTAAACGTAATTGTACTGACGTACGGACATTAGAGGAAAAGAACAGGTAGTGTTGACACTCGAGCTTAAATTTACCTGTATTAGCTAAGCTGTTGCTAAAAATAGAGAGGAAACATTGAGTGGGATGCAAACATCAGAGCAAGATATGTGCCAGACAGGGCAGGTAAACAAAAACACAATGATTCAACAAACGAGATAATATTGCGTATCCTTGTATTATTTCCCATTTATAGTTAGCTAATATTAGGACTGGGAAACCTCGCAGCTTACCAGCTTGAATGTTCCGTAATACTTTACTTCTTTTTGTTAAATACAATTGATTGTAAAGAGCAATGTAAAATATTTAGCTGCATTAAATTCATATATTCCTAAATTAAACACCTGCAATCCATCTAAATCCAATGTAGCCTTTGGGAGAGATGCTAATTGTCATTTATAGAAAGAAAAAAAAGCTCACTGGCCAACGACTGTCTTGCATTACTTGCTCTTGTATCTGTTTGCACGGAAGTTCTATAAAATACAATTATTACATTAATCAAATGTATCTCTTACGGACAAGTGAACTGAAAATATATGCTGTCTCGCATAAAAAAAACAACACTTAAATCCAGTTTAATTTATGGTGCCTTTGTTCTCTGTATTTTCGGCATGTTTTGATCATGAGACGAGAAGTTAATTGTCGCAGCAACTGAGTATTACTAGTGATACAAGCCGGTATGACTTAAATACACAATGGAAAAATGGAACTCAAAGAAAATAAAATATGAAATGGAAAAATGAAATTAAACGCAAATAAAGACGCAATCGAAATTATTTTTGTTTTTAATTTTTTAAGTT